TACAGCACACAGGCACACAGGCTAACACTCTAATTGGAACATATTTCATAAAACAGACTAGATGAAAATTTTAAGGAATTTGAGCTTGTGTAATAAGCAGAACCTGTTGTACCAATAGGAAAGAATAATTCCTTTTTCTCTGTTAAGAAATCTCCTGTAAGTTCTCATTTTGGACAAAGAGAAATATTCTTGTTTGTAGTAACTAGGACAGTCAATCTTCATACAAACAGCACAATGAGACTGAGAGGATAATGAGCTGCTCCTAAATCTGAGCTGCCTCCACTGTTCTAAGATTTCGTATTACAAAGGCTCAACCTCAGGAGATGAAAATGTGAGTAGATACCCAAACTCTTAATCCTGAAGCCAATTACTGCTTCATATTATTTTCAAACTTCATCACGAAATTTCATTTATTATCCTATCTGAACATCTTCATCTACTAAAAGGAATACTTAAGCCACTTAACTTTATCAATACCATCAGTAGGTTTAGTCTTACTTCCCTCATCTTGTTCTTCAGAAGCTTCATTGTTTGCTTAGAAATCATGTATACCATTTTTATTCTACTTGAAATACTTTCAAAATTTGATAATTTCTAACAACTCTCCCTGATCTCACTAGATGTCTAACAGTTTTACATGTCAGTTTTTATACCAAATTCTTCAAGATCTTTAAAAGACAGATAGTTTTAAAGCTCTTTAAACTTTCAGATTATAACAAGGAGCCATTTGAAAGTACTTTTGTAAAGCAAATATACACTTTCATCATCTAGGTAGAAGTGTTTTGAAGCTATTAACAGCTGGTAAAATGATCCATATCTTTAATTGAGCTACTCAAGTACAGGCAGAAGGACCAAGAGTTTGAGGCCAGTCCCAGCAAAGCTTGTAGAACTCTTAAAAAGTGGGTATAGGAGTGTAGAATAGTGGTATATCACTTGTCTTGAATTTCGCTAGATGTGAATATAACAGTTGTTGAAAAGTGTAAGTCTGTATTCCAACAAACAAAGATAGACTATGAGAGATTAGAGAAATCAGTTAAAGAATTAAGGTTAAATATTGATACTAGCATAAAGAAAGTTACAATTAATGAGTCCCCAATAAAGCTATTTGGTTCATTCATTTCTTTTATATTAGCAGGACTTTTCTTCCTTTTTTTTAAATTTTGAGTATGCATCTTAGCTTCATTTAATATTTCCTTAAATTCACGACTGTAACAATCAACTTTTAGTTTATCTTATTTTCTGATTTGTTCATTATCTTTTTTATCTTTACAAGTTGCTTTTAATCCTTTCTTCCTTCCCTCCTTCCTTCCTCTCTTTTCTTTTCTTTCTCTTTCTCTTCCTTTATTTAGATAATTCATATAGTTGTCTCTCTGTAATTAGGTTTATCTTTATATATTGGATGTATACAAATTTAAATTACATATCATCTCAAATTTTGTGTTGCATCAGAGAAATACAACTACATATTGATTTTGTAGTCTGTACAGTTGCTAAATTTGCTGGTTAATTTTCTAAGTATACAGCATGTCACCCATAAATAATAAAACTTATTTTTCTGATTCTTATACTTTTCATTTCTTACATTTACAGTGAACTACTGGCTGGGAGCACCAAACCATGTTTAATACAAAAGGTGATAAATGACATTCTTAAATTTTCCCATCAGAAAGCTTAATACAGTACAATAAAATATGATATTTGCTATAGGTTTTGCAGGAAGTTTTGTTCAGATTACTTGCTATTATTCCTTAACCTGCCTAATATTACTGATCTCCAGTCTTTACCTACATTTGATAAAGAATAAATACTGAATTATATGGAAAGCTTTTTAAGCATTTGGCCTATTGGCATTTATTGCTGCTATTTTAGCTTTCAGCATATACTGACATAACTTTTCTTCTTTATAATATTGGTATAGGAATTACATTTAGTTTTTTTCAATGTTAAACCAACCTTACATTCCTAGAAAAATACAAACTGGGCCAAAATAGATCACCTATTTAAAGAGATATTACATTATTTAAAATGTTTCATTTATATACATGAGGGATTTGGCTGTAATTTTCTCTTTATGTTGGGTCCCCATCAGGAGGCAGTATGAAGACTGTGTTGATCTTACATAGTAAATTGTCAAGTGTGTCCTTTCTCTCCATTCTCTAGAAAAGCATGGAGGAATTTTAGTTTAACAGTTACTTATTTTTCTTTTTCTTTTTTGGTCCAGTCGTGGGGCCTGAACTCTGAGCCTGGGCGCTGTCCATCAGCTCTTCAGCTCAAGGCTAGCGCTCTACCACTTGAGCCACAGCGCCACTTCTGGCTTTTTTTTCATTTTGCTTATGTGGTGCTGAGGAATCGAACCCAGGGCCTCATGCATGCAAGGCAAGTGCTCTACCACTGAGCCACCTTCCCAGCCCCCAGTTACTTATTTTTCTTGTACAAGATAGCTCTCTATTTTCTTGGTGTTCTAGCTTTCTGTTAAAAATAAAGCACCCATGCTTCAGCCCTGCCCCATGCCAAGACTCCCTCTGTCAGCATCTCTGATCTGTCTACATCACATCTTCACTAGGACACATGGGACCAAACTGCCTCTAAAGCCCACAGAGCCTGTGTCCCAGTTGTAGCAACCAAGAAAAAAAGTGAAACAAAATCTGTTGCTGTCAAACTCAAAACTGCACCTTTGCAGTTGACTCTTTTCTCTCTCACACTACTTTTGTTATTTTCTCTTTGGCTTTGGTTTCAACAATTATATACCGTGGCTTTCCTTTTATGCTCTTCTGCTTCAAGTTTATAGTACGTTTTAAAACTGTGCCTTAATGTCATTTATCAAGCTTTAGAGCTTTCTCAGCATCATTTTCTCAAAAAAAATGCTTCTACTACATTCTCTCTCTTCTCTCCTTGTGGACTCTACTTTTCAACATATTTTGTGCCATATTAAAGGTGGAAGATTAAAAAATGTTTTGACCTTAATCCTTTTGTAATTGTGACCTATATCCTCTCTTCATTGGCCTGAGTCAGCTGTGTAATGTGGCTGCAAACAGAATATGACAATCTGATGCTTTACCAGAGAACTCACCCAGACCTCCAGAAACTAGAGATTTCTACACTTAATTTTGAAATGTTTAGTACTGGGAGAAGGCAGATACCATGTAAGAAGTCTAACTACTCTGAGATTGACATTTAAAGAGAGAAATGCTGGCCAGCCCAAGAAATTCTACCCCTTCTGGTGATGGCACCAAATGTAAAAGTGCAAAAGCTACATAAGAGATGACATGAGAAGAGCCACTGTCCCAGACACATAGGGCCCCAATCTCAGGTATTTCTACCTATTTGAATGTCCAATTGGGGGTCAAATCACTGTTCAGCACAGGCAAGTCAAATCCAAATTAAAGTTAATTCCTGGTCCACAGAATCACGTGCATAATAAAAAAAAGTGGGTGTTTGCTGGGTACCAGTGGCTCATAACTATAATGCTAGCTACTCCGGAGGCTGAGATCTGAAGACCAGCCCAGGCAGAATGTCGAGACTCATATCTCTAATTAACCACAAAAAGTTGGAAGTTCAAGTGATAATGCATTAGGGTACTTGAGCAAAAAAAGCTCAAAGACAGCATTTAGGCCCTGAATTCAAGCCTCAGTACTAGCACCAAAAAAAAAAAAAAGCAATTGTTTTATACCTAAAATTAATTACTTCACAGAGGATGAGCCTGAGTGTCTTTGCTCATTTTTAGTGGATATGTCAGGAATGAAAAGCCCTGACCAATTTTACCTGGGCCATTTCTCAGGATTAGGTTTACAGTTAGCAACTCTGAGGGGCAAGAAATATCTCACCATAACATAATCAGTGCTTAAGACATTTCAAAGCTAAGATTTCTAAGCCAGAGGTAATACTTTGATGATTTAACCCAAACCTAGGTTTACCAGCACCTATATTCTCCACCCTGTCCCTGCATCTTGGTAGGGTGAAACATCTTCTTTTGTTTCTCTATCCTTCAGTGCTCATCAAAAACTTTGCTTACCTTCTTACCTAGTTTTTGGTTTTTTGGTTTTTTTTTCCTCACAATCAGCACATACCTCCCTCAGGGAATGGTTGCCTGAAAATTTCAGGCTCATTTCTTAACTATAGTAACATTCTGATACATCTGAATACATGCCTTCTATTTTGTCCAGTTTTTCTCATCTTTCTTAGAATGTTAATCCAAATTACGGTATCAAACATTACCAGTAATGCAATTCTTTCAAAAACACATTTAATATGTGTAAAATTTAAGGGATTTAAAGTTCTGCTTCCTCCACCCTTTTCTCTCCATCATAAGCTAGACCCATATAGAATGTTTGTATGTATAAATATATGTATCCATCTATCTATCTATCTATCTATCTATGATGGTACTAGCAAGTGCTATAGCACTATGTTTATTTTTAAAATATGCATTCCAGCATCTCTGAAGGTGTTGTATACTTTCAAAAAAGTGAAAAGAATAACACTTGCTTAAATTATTGAAGTCTCTTTATAAAATATCACTTGCATAAAAAAATCTGTCTGAAGCAGTAAAGGTAAAAAGCAACTAAAATACAGAAATAAGCAAAACTGTATCCGTTTTAGGATTTTAATACCCTCCTAGCTATATCTAAACAGTTATTAACATTATCATAATACAGTATTATTTATGAGTAATGTTTTTATAAATTCCAAATATATATATAAGTGTGTATATATATATATATAGAGAGAGAGAGAGACAGAGAGACAGAGAGAGAGAGCCTTTTAAATGAACATTCCTTTTCCATTGGAAAACTACATAATTTTATAAGGACTTGAAATTTAGTTTTGAAAGTCTAAGAAAAACATTATGACTGCCAATACTTACAGTGAAAAATACGAAAATCAATGTATGGATGTGAACCTCTCCTTTCTGATTCAAATCCTGCTCGACTCCTCACGCATAAGGACTTGAAATTTAGTTTTGAAAGTCTAAGAAAAACATTATGACTGCCAATACTTACAGTGAAAAATACGAAAATCAATGTATGGATGTGAACCTCTCCTTTCTGATTCAAATCCTGCTCGACTCCTCACGCGTACATCTCCTTAATAGAATCAGGAATAAAACATAAATAAAGCTGTTATTTGTGAATAATCTCCCATATGCAAAAGAAGTCTACATAGTACCATACTTACATGCAATGACTTATTACATATATGGAACAAATAGTTCAGAGTTGATTTCATAAATTTTCAATACTGATTTATAAGGCTGGTTGAGGAAATTAAAAACAAAAACTTTAACCTTACAATACTAATCAGAATAATCATAATTTATAATTTAAAAGATAATTCTGAAAGATGACTCCAGTATATGCTAATCCAACCTAATATCTTACTACTCACATGGGGTTTAAAAAGAGAGGGGGATGCTGGAAAACAAAAATCTTCTTTATAGAAGATAGAATATCTGATCAAAACAGAATGAAAAGCAAATGCTTATTAAGTAACTACTCTGGACAACAAATGGATATGAAAATGGAAACTATATTAGCTATGCTCAAGCATTTTATAATTTAAAAAATGCACAGTAAACATATCATGTTAAGTGAGGTAAGCCAGAGAAACAAACAGTGTATGTTTTCTCCCATGTGCAGAAGCCAGATCAAGAAATGTATGGGGCATGATAAATTACACAGGACTCAAAGCATTCACACACAGTGAATCCAAAAGAGGATACTCTTAAGGGAAGAACACAAATACAATACCTATCTGCCTCTGATCACATAAAATAAATATCATCAAATGAACTCCATGAAATGGAAATGAGGTTTTTTCGTTGTTTAAAAAAATGCACAGTAAGGCTGGGAAGGTTGCACAGTGATAGTGATTGCCTTGCATGCATGAAGCCCTGGGTTTGATTCCTTAGCACCATGTAAGCAGAAAAAGCTGAAAGTGGTGCTGTGGCTCAAGTGGTAGAGCACTAGCTTTGAGCTGAAGAACTGAGGGACAGTGCCCAAACCCAGAGTTTAGGCCCCACGACCAACAACAACAACAAAAAGCACAGTAAATTAAAACATTACAGACTTTGCCTTAAGTGTCTGGCCAATCTTCTCCCTTGTCTGGCCAATCTTCTCCCTTCTCGTTGTCAGTTGGATATTCTCAAGGTTTTTGACTGGTTGTTAAGCTTTGTTTTTATAAGCCCCATGCTATAACTATATGAACCTACATGATTTTCTGACTTCTCTTCTCCTGCAACATTACCAGAACAAGCATATACCAGGCACTTTGTACTCACAGGCACTGCTATTCAATTCTCCAATCAGCCCAAAACAGTAAGAATCTAATTCTCAATTTATAGATATAAAAACTAAACTCTGATAAGTTAAACAACATGTTCCATTCAAACTGTGAGCCAAGATTTGAACCTAGTCAAACAGATTCCAAAGAGAGCACTATTCCCATTACACTTTTAGAACACCCAAGTTTATAACCCTTAGTCCCCCATTCCTGTGCTCTTGCCCATTCTGCTTGCCAGGATGGCTCTACTGCTTATTCTGTTTCCCTAAGAAGACTGGTTCTCCCTTTCAAGCTTATTTCATCCACCAATGACTGCACCCAACACCTTTTTCATATGATGATTCCTTCACACTAAGAGAAAGGTTTGCTGAGTACCAGCATATGTCAGACATTGAACATATAGCAGAGAGCAAAATATAAGAAGTTACTGTCCTCATGAAGTCTATTTTTATGTGGGATAAGAAAGTAAGTACATAATTTCATTCTGTGGATGATGACAGGAAGTTTTTGAAGTAAATTAAGAGGAACAGGAAGGAGGGACATGGATAGGGTGATTCAATAGTATGGCCAGGAAAGTTCCCATGGAAAAGGAATTATATGAGCAAAGACCTTAAGCCATATGGCTATCAGAGGAAAGAGGTTTCTAAGCATAAGGAAGAATAAGTATAAACACCTTGTGACAGTAACATGCTTGCATGTTCAAAGTCAAGCAAAGAGACCAGCATGGCAGGAAAAAAGCAAACAAGGTAATAGGAAGGTCAGAGAAGTATGGTCAGATCACTTTGAGCCTTTTTAGGTATCAGAGTAGTTCTGGTTGTTACGCTAAGGGAGAAAAACTATCAAAGGACTCTGAACAGAGGAATAAGATAACTTTAACGGGTCTGGGAAGATTCACTCTGGCTATAGGTACTAGAATAAATAGGATGAAAACAGGCTGGTACAGGAAGATCAGTTAAGGAACAAAGATAATCAACTGTGCTGCAATCCCAGAATTCAGGAGGTTGAAGGAGGAGGACTAAGTTGGAGGCCAGCACAGGCAACATAGCGAGACACTGTCTCAAAAAAGAAGTAAGTACCAAAAAAACAATAAAGTAAAATGATGTTGTTTAAATTGGCTGGTAACAAACAGCAAGGAGGTGACAAGATTCTTCATGTATTTTGAAAGTGTCTGTTGGTAGGATTTTCTAGACAATAAGATATGGAGTGTGTAAGAAACAATCAAGCATGAGTGCAAATTTCTGATCTGACAACTGGAATAATGAATGGGCTGGTATCTACTGAGAAGGCGAAAGACTACTAAGTAAAGTGCTGGGAAACGTAAATCTCTGAAATTTTTTAGACATGTTTTTAGTTTGTTTAGACATCTATAACATCCCCATCTGGAAGTACTTAACAAAATTAAAGAAAATATGAATTTAAGAGTAGGAGAATTCTGAACATGTTTCTAGGAAGAAAGGAAGAGGAAAGAGCTGAACATTCACAAAGAAAAAAAAATGTGCTCGAGTAGAATAGAATTGAGGCAGGCAGGACACCCAAAGTAAAGACAGAAAAAGAGAGTAAGAGTAAGTGTCCATAAATGTTCTTAGTTTAAATTACAAGTGGACTTAGTGAAGGAAGCAAGGAAGAAAGAGGTAGGTGCACAATAGAATGGCTCAGTATCTCAAAGCAGAGGGAGGAATTCTGAGCATGAGAAATCACAAGGCTATCCTCTAATGAAAGCAAACTTGACTGTTGGAACCTAAACAATACATGCTCAAAGGTATAAATAAAAGTACAAAGGATCATGGAATGTACAGATGAAAAGTAATTCCAGCAAAGACAGAAAAAGTCAGAAGGAAACCAGATATATATAACTGAATTCATTTACCTGTGAAATTAAATAATGTATAAAACAATTAGAGCACCACGACTGGAAAAAAACAAATGGACTTCCTCACCAGCCAACTGAGAACAAAATGCTTCCAACGATAGGACTATCTAGTTTGTACTTTATGGCTTTATCTTCATTTATATTACTATTCATTGCTGTAATATTTAACAACTTTATAAACCTGTTTTCAATGGCAATTTAAACTATGCACTAATAACAATGTCCCTGTTTTAAATTTTCAATTTCTCAACTATAACTAAAATGCCTCACTTTATTCTATCATATACAATACTGGCCTCCATACTCTAAACTGAAAGGAAATAGATTAGTTCTGATATAAACGTGATGAAAATGATACTTAATAAAAGACAGCTTAACCTCAAATAATCATGCATGATAACAAATGATATAACAACTAATATGGTTATAAAGTAAACAGTGCTTACCTAGCATACGAATGTACAACGCAGTCTGATCAGAACTGTCATAGGAAATAGCTCCACGTCTCTAGAAAAAAAAATACATATTTTAATAGATAACTGAAATATAATCTAAAATTCAATGTAGCAAGGATGTATTTATTATTTGTGAATTACTGGGCAAGAGAAATTAGATACACAAAATGAAATTAGGTATCCTATCTGCTTTGGAAATTTCTAGTTGGGGGAGAGACAAATACTTAAGATTAGGCTAAGAACTACCATAAAAGTAGATTGAGATGTGGAGAATGAATTCTACTACTTGTGGGTGGGGACAGGAGGGAAAACTGGGAGACAGCAAGGAAAGGAATGACACTGTCCAAAAAGAAATGTACTCATTACCTGACTTATGTAACTGTAACCATTCTGTACATCACCTTTATAATAACATTTTTTAAGTACAGGAATTCAGAGTAAAAAGAATTTGGGAACGAGGTATCACAGAAGTTGATTTCTAGAGATCACAGGAGTAACCAAACAGAAAAAAGAAGAAAAAGGTGATCTACTGGATATACTTCCTGGCCCCCCAGTCTACTCTACACAAAGATGGAAAAGTAAACATTTTAAGTCCTACACAAAAATCCTTCAGTGGCTCCATATAACTCTTGAGAAAAGTTCCAAACTCCAAGTTTGTATTTCTAAAGCCCTCCTCAATCTGCTCTCTCATCCTATTAGCGCCTCTTCCACTGTGATGCAGCCATGTTGGCCTCCTTGCTTTTCTGCCATGCCAAATGTCTGGCCTTTATACTTGCTGTTTCCCTGCATGGATCACCACAATCACGATTTCCTTGCTATCTTGCAGGTCCAAATGTCATCTCCTCAGACAGGCATACTCTTGACTGCCAAATCTAAAGCCACCTAACAGCCACTTTCTTGCACAACTCTCTACCTGGGTCCTCTGTGAAGCACTTAGCTGATGTTATCAGCTTGTTACTAAAATAGAAGCTCTAGGAGAGCAGGAAACTTAACTGTCTTACCACAGTACCAACACCTAAAACAGGAACTATTTTCACTAAATTCTAAAGATTTGACAAATAAATAAGTACAGTTGTTGCAAATAAATTATATATAAATGAATACGTTTCAAAATCTGGAAGATAAACACACCAAATCTTCATTTAGAATCTAAACACTGTGAGTTATTTATACCCTTAATGCTAATCATCTAAGAGAAAGATATCACTTAGAACCTTACATGAATTCATGCATCCTAAAGAACAAGTTCATGAAATGTAAAGGAACCAACATTTCAAATGATGTAAAATTCCAACCATGAGCACCGATACTTTTCAAGGAAGCTGAGGAACAGGAGGAATTGAGAGGTTCTTAGAAGAGGCCTTTTCCGTGTGTAGCTTTGTATAGATATGTAGTTATTATTATACAGTCAAAGTAAAAATCATATACAAAAAAAGCCTATAAAGAAAAGCATGATCTCAAATTCCAAGGAGCTAAATCATACAGCATATACCTCTGGCATTATGTTTAGGTGTCTCCCAACAATGAAATATCCAAGGAAGCTACACAGTACTTCACAGAAAACTAGTGTGGAGCAAACAGCCACTGTAATCACTTGCATTAAAAGATACCATTCACAGCTGCTATTCAATCCCCTCCCCTAAGATGTTTATTTATTAAGTTAGGGGCTCCGCTGAAAACTGTAGCATTAAGGGTTAGCTCAGCAACTGGAAAGAGTGAATGTGGCAATAAATGTTTCTATCAGCTAAAAATATTAATGAAACAACAGGCGACATTATGTAATCGCTTGTTGTGGCCAATATCTATTATTGGTAGTACCCAGTAACACCTTGGTTAAATAGTTTGTTAAAACAAATTTTAAACTGTTATCTTTAACACTCCTCTTTAGGACGGTGATTGTTATTATTGTTTTCTTAACGTAGGAAGAATATCTATTAAAACACCCATGAGAAGGAAGGCAAAAATCTCATATCTCTTTACTAAGGATTGCTAAAAACGAATAATAGTCGAAATAGTCTTATGTCAAAAATTGGGTACTGAAAATGATCTAGATTATCTATGTCATATTAAATTTATTTTAAGATATCAATTTAAACTCATTTACAGAAGCATTAATTCAGACATTAAAATACTGGAACTTGCAATTTCAGTTAAAAGTTGTCAAAAAAAGGTAGATTTTCATTTTTAAAAACCTACTAACAAATTACTTATTGATGAATACGACTTTCAAGTTGTTCTGTTAATCATAATGTACTAATTTAAGCAAGTCTAGTCTATAAATATAAAGCTTAAGTGATATCTTGACTCAAGAAAATCTTATCTTTTACTAAATAAATCCAAATGAGACAAAAACTTTTTTTTAAAGAATGGGCTTTGAAAAATATGTATCTATAAAGATAAGTATCAGTGAATTCAATTTGAGTGATAAGTCATTCACCTACTTATTTTGGATTGAAAGTACAATACATATTAAGTTCTTTCACTAAGGAATCCAGGCAAAGTAATTCAAAGTAAGTCATTTTGGAAAAATATACTACACTTGATGACTGGAACAACAAACTTTTACTTCCATGTTACAATCATGTGGTTTTGTGGTTTTTTTTTAAACACGGTTACAGAGACTTAAAACATATTTCTTTAAAGATTATTATTTTTAAAGCCATGTACTAGTAGAATTTTACTCTCAACAAAAATAGTAAGACAAAGTTCATCAAAATCTGGTGTCACACGTCAGTCACAAAGTACTCTCTGGGCTACCATCCACATTCTCACCTCACCTAACCAGTGAATGGAAATAACTGAGGCTTCTACTCGTGACTTCTAATTTAGCCATCCTGGGAACAGCTTGTAAAGCAAACTAGTATAGGTCAAAACATGGGCGAGGCCAAGCTAATCAGAAACTGACAGCCACAGCATAAACAAGTTAAACTGAGGGCCCTGCTGAGACACTCACTCACCTAGACGTTAGGTGAATCATTCTTCCATAAAGATTTGACTTGAAGGTAAATGACAAAAGGTATAGAAGTTGTTCACAATGTTAGTTAATACATAACTTTTAAAGAAACAATCCAGCAAAGACATTTAAAGTGTCATTGTTTTTACTTTGTTCAAGTTTTCCATTAGATGATCTAGAGCTCAAAAGCAAGTGTATTTCTCTTACTTGGAAAAAGTAACAATAGAAAATGTTCTAAGTGTCCTGTACAACTAATGTACACTAATAAAAAAAAAGAAAAAGATGTTCCAGATGCATTCATAAAAAATCTTATTTAACCCACACAAGAACTTTGTAAAGAGGCTAACATAGTAAAATGAGCCTTTGCAGAATATATGCATATTACATATGCTAGAAAAACATGTTGCTGTTTAAGTGCCTAAATATTCAGCTATGCATTAATCCACATTCTATTCTTCCATCCAAAAAATATTGTGAAATAAATATTTCTTTTGTTAAAAATTCAACTTTTTTGTAGTCATTCAGTCTGTGAAACATCCAAAATTTAACTAATATGTGTACTATTAACATTAACTTGACCTTTATTAACTTGGCAATCCAGGCTTTTAAAAACAAGAGCTGTCAGTATAACAAGATTAATTCTTAACTTTTAAAGCAGACAGATTTTATTTGAGTGTATTGTGTATCTTGAGGAGATAAATCATATTCACATATAAAAGAGGGTCACTTCAAGTAAGAGACAGGGATATATAAACTGTTAAGTACTGTACAAATGTAAACAATTACAAGCAGGACTTAAAATCTTGCTTGGAAAAGAAAACTAACTTTACAAAACCTTTCTGTTGCTTAACAAAACATTACTTAGCAAATTTAGTGATGGCTTTATAAATGTTAAATTAGAACACTTTAATTTCTTAATACAGAATGGAAAAAGCTGCATGACTGATAAAGATAGAATCATTTTATACAAGTGTAGAAAGAATAATTTCAGGCAATATCATCTTAAGAATTTCTTAGTATTATACATTTGTCTAAATGGCATTTGACTAGCATTCTATCAAGCATTTCTTAAGCCTGATATGTAAAATTCAAATTCATACTTATATTTTTTGTCAATGTATTATAGCTAAAGCAAGATGGTAAGAGAGAACATGACAAAGTGATTTTATAGTGGTTTTCAGTGATTTTTAAAAACGCTTAATATTTTCTTTTAAATATTCATTTAATTCTTTTTTTCAAAAGAAAATGTTTAAAACATGTATGTCCCCCAAAGTCTAAATTGTTTTTAACTTTATAAACTTAAAAGCTAAACTTCTTTAATCATAAAAACTTTAAGGTGACAACACTGAGGAAATCCACTTTGACTCTGAGGAACGCTACCATAAAAAGCCCATCAGGAGGAATAAAGTGAAATAAGAATAGAAATTACAAGGAGTAATTTTAAGCCTTTTAGCTGAGATAGAACTCATAGCTCTTTTAGAGAATAAAAACCGAGGCAAAATGAAAAGAAAATTGTGTGACTATTTCATTCCTATCAAATATGCAAAGTAATGATTAATGTCACAATCCTAAAAGTAAAGATGGCCTACCTTAGAGGTAATCCACTTGATAAGAACCAAGGCCAGACACCAGATCAATGTAATTCCCATTGGGTCAATCAAAAGCCGCCTGCATAATCTCTCTTCTCTACCAGTAAGCAATGAGCAAAGAAGACTTCTTAGGACTCAGATAAATAACCAGCTGTCCCGAAGCAGAAAAGAAGGGACACTAACTGCCCTGAACCTCTAGCAGCTGCCTTCCAACAGTGATCACCTGACTCCTCAGAGAATGCACTGCCTGGTCAGCCTTCTGGGCCCGTGTATGCTTCATGCCACAACCCCAGTGTTGGAGTAGAGCAGCTTAAATAATGTTGGGAGGAGAAAAACAACAACAACAACAACAACCTTAGCTGACCAAACAATTTCACAAAATGTAGACAAAAGAGATCTCATGCTAGTCCCAAACACTTACACAATCATAATACTCGCTGCCTTGAAAGTATTGGTCAGGATTAAAATGTTTCTCATTCTTTTCAGGTATAATATCCTCACATATAAAAC